GCGATTATCGCAATGTGCATTGTATCCTGTATATCATGCATTTGACTCTTTCAGGGTTGCTTCCTGTGGTGCCTGTTCTAAAATTACTGGACATAATGGCACTTGTACACATACGTACACACACCCGCACACCCACACATTCTTTCATTTTTCCATCACAATCGATCCGCATTTTTGATGTGCACATGTAGTGAAGTGTGACTTTGCGCAGTCCCTTTGCTACTATCATTGAGTCCACTTGACATCACATTGGTTTGTCATTTCAGACTTTCACGCTGAGTATCCATTGGTTCCCGAACTGCGCATTGGTTTGCAACGTCTTTGAAAAGGACAACAGAAGCTGCTTCTGAGGAAAAGCATGGAGGAGCAAAAGAATGAGTTGCAGAAGCTCAAAGAAAGCGATGCAGACAAAGCAAAAGCACTTGACAAGATGCAGCAGGAGGAGAATCTCAGCTGATTGACCAACCCTCCAGGCCTTTTTCCTCCAGGCCTCAAGGCCCAGCCCTACCGTGGGAGGGGATCTGAGGGGATGTTGTGTCAGCACCTGAGCCACAGTGACCCCATTTTAAGTTCACCCCTTACTGGGCGCCACAATTCCGAGCACGCATCTCTCGGCTTCATTAAGGACGGCTAAGCTGAAGGAGATTGAGGCACTCCAGTACCTTGGCCCCTTTGCAAGGCCCAGTCTATATCAACGATACATAAAATATTATTGAAGAGGAAGAATGCCAGCGAGGGGGGTGAACGGTCAAAGGTCTAAAGGAGAAAACCAAAGAAGAATGATATAATTTCAATGTTTGTCTTTTGGACATGTTTTTAAGGCACCAACTGCGGGAGAAGGCCAAGGTGACTTCTGACTTGACGACGAAGTTAGCGCAGCAGACGCAGGAGCTATATATATAATATATATATATAGATAATATGCATAATTGGTTGAGCAACTGTGTTGGTTGAGGGGCTGCAGATGGCTGCAGTGGGTCAGTGACACAGTTGGGTGGGTGCCACAGTGCCTGATGGGCCTCCCGAGGCTTTGAGACACCAGCGATGGCCTCCAACCTAATAGCGATGGCCTGATAGCCTCCAAGATGTAAGTTGTATTGTATACATTACATGAGTCACTTAGGGGGTCAATTGTCATCCATGTCCTTGCGACTTTCAGCCCTGATATTCCTCCAGGAGTTGTCAGAAGTGAAAAAGTCATCTGCGGAGCAGCTGCGCCTCGAAGCAGTTTTGGAGGGTTCTTTGGGTTTCGACACAGTTAATTGGATGCGGATCCATCAACAAAGTCAACAAGTCCACGCAGCCTGAAGCCACAGCGATCTTTGGGCAGGACTTGCCTTCTTATGTGGGATGCTTTAGTCGCTAATCATAGCAGGCAATGTTATTGCCGATGTGTTTCTTCTGGCCCATTTTGCACGGAATCTACCACAGCTACAGACATTTTTAATGGTCCAACTCCAACAGCACGAGCCAGGCTAACTGAACTAACAGAGTGCCCCACCTCTTCTTGTTCTTGTTCGAGTTGTAGGAGGCAAGTAAAACGCCCGTCGATAGATGAGGCAGCAAGTGGAATCCACTCAGCAGCGCCTTGCAGAGATGGAAGCTTCTTTAGTGCAGACGCAGGCGGAGGCACAGCAAGGCGCCCAAGAGCTTGCAGACACGAGGCATCTGGGCGTGCCGGGCATTGAAGTGACGGACAAACGCAGCGCAATGTCACCCGTTCAATGTATATATATATATGTTTTGCTCAAAGTAAGTGGGATGAACTTTGTTGATTTGATCAGCCAGTCTTGTGCATTGTTATGTTCATTTGTTGGACAAAGGAAGATGCTTGAAGACAAGGAAGCTGAAGTGAGCACTCTAGGACAGATGTGAGAATGACGCTGAAATCCATGGCTCCTGTATGTGTCTATTTCTTCTTTGAAGTGTGCAACCTATGAACTTTTCGGAAGATGTAATTTTTGAGCAGCTCTCATCAAGGTCATGTGCATGGCCAATTCATGATGCATGTTTCTAAGGGAAAGATGTCAGTTGCCTGTGGCCAAGCCTGGGTTGAGCTTGAAATGTCTTTTTGTACCTCGTTTGTTTGGATTGTTTGCGTTGTACGAAATACAAGTCAAAGCGGTCATATCAAGATACCATCCATCCGCATCCACCACGTTCGTGAGGAGCTCAGCGTGCGACGTGGGAGGCCGCCGAGGCCCGACTGGTCGACGAGCTCCAAACGCTTCGGCAGAACTTCGCAGCAGACATGAACGAGCGGGAAAAGCTCCAAGGACGCTGTCAGTAGCAAAGCCATACGAGGTCAGGTGTCTCCGATGAGTGGATCCTCTAGAGAGGATAAATTGAAAAGTCAAAATAGGATTGGTGGATCATCGGCTCAATACCTGATTGATTTACCTAGACATTTGGACTGATGTGGATGTGTAGCGGGAAGGTGAGCAGCTGCAGACGTCTTAAAAACGGGGGTCTGGAATCCTGGAATGTTCCGGATGGATTTTGTTTGATTATACTCTACACGTCGTTAGGGGAATCAAGGGGGTTGTACTTTCAAGGACGTGAGAGCAGCGAATGTGTGTTGTTATTTCCTCTCAATGAAGAGAAGGGTTTGAGTTTCAGGACAGCTGGAATTCCTTGAAGCTGAAGATGCCTTGAAGTCTCAACGAATTTCTGAAATGCAGCACTTTTTGCAAGAACAGATGCAGGACTCTGAGATGTGTGAATAATTTGTAGTGGATGAATCGGGTGTGGAGACCAGGGAGCAATCAAGATGAATCAACAAGTCACAATTAAAACGGTGAACTCACCAGCAGCAAGCTACAAATTTATGGGTGTTACAGATAAAGCTTGATGAAGCAGAAAAGAACACGGCATTACCTTGCTGGAAGGCCGAAATGCCACCCTTGTCAACTCACAAAGAGAATGGATGAGCCGCTTTTGATTCATGTGTTACCTTCGCTCTTGGCAGTCAACAGATCCAACATGGAGTGGCTAATTCAGCCTCAGCCTTGAGGACATGGACACTCTCAATTATGAGCTGAAGCAACGAGAGGCTGCCAGTGCCAACACTTGAATGTAAGGATTCTGCAGAAAGCGGGCTGAAGTATTCTTTGTATAGTTGTTTAGCAGCTAGAATGTTTAAGGTTGGAAGTGCCCGCGGTTGCTTGTTTGCCTGGCATTTGCCATTTCAAAAGGCGCAGTTGGAGGAGCTGCAGCAACAGATGAGCCACTTGGCGGATCGATGTTTGGAATCAAACACATGCACTGACTCCAACCTAATAGTGATGGTCTCCAACCTACTAGCATGCTTGCTACTAGTAATAATGCCCTTGTTACTAGTAGCTTCTTGTTCCTAATAGTGATGGTCTCCACCCTAATGTCCCGGACTCCGCTGACTCCACTGATCCAAGGCAAATTGCAGCAGCTGGATGCACAGAAGCTTCAACAGCTCGAGGAGCTCCAGAGACTGGGTGAAGACAGTGTAAGTGTAGCCTGCGAGCCAACAGAGAAGACACGAGTCAATATGTACTGCGATAGCCACATAAAACAAGAGTTGTAAAACCACAATGTAAATTAACATATACATTACAATACAGAGAGAGATTGGGATTACTCGTGTAGCTGTCAGATGCCAGTGTGCCTTGCAACTCATGAGTTACAACTTCTCTCCACCTCACCAAGTGGCCATCGGTGGTCTTTGCCGGGTTTTGCCGATTCAAACACAATGCTTGAAGACACCAAGGAAATGGAAGAGGCAATGTGAGGAAGCCAAAGAGCGTTTGTTGAGTGGCAAGTTGTCCAAAGTGAAGCTGGATTTGTAGACCTGGTCCTCCTAGCTGGTCCTAGCTCCCAAGCTGTGATCATGGCACTGTTGCTGACAGCTGGTTGATCTGAGAACAAGACGGCTGACGTTACAAATAACTATTTTCTTATGTTTTGGCGCAGCTGGAGCATAGAATGACAGGTCAGGGTGACCAGTATTTTTCACCGGTCCTGGACTGAAACAACGGGAGAGTTCTTTCTGCTGGAGATGACAGACAGACGGACCACTTCCAGAGCAGAAGCTTGCATGGCGAACTTTGAGTCCAGGATCGATAGATTGTTATGACTTCAAACCAAAGTAATCCGCGTTCAAAAATACGAAGAGCTTGGGATGTAATCACCTTGTTCACTGTGCTTACGCATTCCAATTCTACCATTGCAACAGACAGGTAGTTGTGCAAACTGAGACGGTCGTTTGGAGAACGTGATTGGCAGTATATTCCACAGATGAGATTTGTCAGACGGTTGTCAACAATTTAGTGGATAGCAAATTCGGCGATCTTGGATGTATATACAGTGATTTGACAATGGTATTTCAAGTGCTCACAGGATGTCAAAGAAAAGCAAAAGTTCCAACTGCAGACAATTGACCCTCGTTGACAGGAAGGTGACAAGCGAAGTGGGTCCGTCTCGTTCTGCACTTGGTTCAATGAGCGACAGCTTTGGAAGATTGACTGAATTGGGTTCAACACTGTTCTACACTTTGGAGGCCATCGCTACTAGGGTGGAAGCCATCGCTACTCGTGCGGAGGCCATCGCTATTAGGTTGGAGGCCATCTACATTTTTACATGTTTCCTTTGTAATGCAGGGCTCAGAGCCAAACAACCAAGGAAGCGTAATTAGCGGGCCTTAGACGGGCAGTAAACTGGATCCATCAAGTGTGCGAAGCATTACTCTTGAAGGTCATCCTCGTCATCTTCCACTTCAGAAGCAAAGAATGAAGGCAACAGGGCCACTCTTGCTATTGACTTTTTTTGATTTTTTACAAACGACCATGAGACATCGTGACGCAGACATGTGGCATCAATCAAGCCAAGGAGATGGAGATGGCAATCACAAAAACAAATCCCTTCAGGAGCAGGAAAACATCAGTCTCGCGTATATATCTTAGCCCAGTACCGTTGACTGTTGACAATATAAGAGCCAATTCTGACTCACAGGTGCAGAAACAGAGGTGCTGGTTATTTGCTAATTGTAATACAGTATTCAATTCTTTCACTTCCAGCCATGGACAAGTCCTTGGCACTTCATCTGGCACGGCGATGCTTGCCCCATTTTGAGACCAAAGGCAGGAGACTTTTGACGAACAACCCAGAACCAAGACTGTTGCCGTTGCCACATGAATTTGCTTTCCCATAGGTTCTACATTTTACACCATAGGTCTAGGGGCATCTTGAGCACAACGGCTGCCCAAAACTTCAATATATATATATATATGTCAATATTCAGCCTTGCTTTCCTTGCCCGAAACTTCCTTGAGTCCCTTTTCGAGAAGTGAAACATCGGATGAACCTCCCATGACAGGTGTAGGGAAGGTGGTCGAGATCGAAAGTGCAAAGCCGCGAAATTTGATCCTCGGTTGGAATCCTGGAAACCAAATGTATAATGGGCATTTATCAAGTAGGACCTTAGCGAGGAAGTCTGGAGAGCACGGTTCTTTCGTTTGTTTTTTGGTTTTTGACTTTGGCTGTTCAGATCCTAATCGAGATTGCTGGCGGCGGTATGTAAAAAACACTGAGAACTCACTCAGCTGAGTCAGGTTGCCAGTATGGACTGGAATGGGCAGTGTGGACGAGGTTCAAGTGACGGGCAAAGGTGAAAGTGCTTCTTTCGTAGTGAAGAGTGTGGGCTCCTCGGTCAAGACTGGACTTTTTCTGTCAAGTTCAGTTTCACAATGGTGAAAGAGTTTGGAGATTGGCAGTTTCTTCAATGAGGTTCGCACAAGAAGATTGATGATGAACTGGCTTTGGTGGACCACATGTCCTACTACAACGAGGTTGGCCGTCACCCAACTTCTGACTCCATCCACAGCTGTTGAGATAGAGCATGTCCATAGACCATAGGGAGCAATCAATCCAAAACATGCAGGCTTTGACCTGCACTCCTTGTGTTGTTTTGCTACTCCTTTTTGTTGGTTTGATGCGATGCTGCAGCAAGAACATGCCAAGATATGCTTATTTGGCTGAGCAAGACTGCAGTGGGTGCTTGTGGAATCCAAGAAGTGTGTGCAAGCAGCCGCCCATTCAACAAAAGACTGACACATAAGCTACTAGTAACAAGGGCATCGCTACTAGTAGCTGATGTGCTTGATTCCATGCGACATGGGTGCCATGCACAGCTCTTTGAGGACGGTCTTGCCACAATTTACATCTACTAGTAGCTTCTCCACGTGCAGCCCTCCACGTGCAGCCCTCCACGTGGGCGCCACCGGGGCAACCTTGTCTGTAAGAGGTATCTTGGGTTGTAGGTTGGAACCTTTATGGATGACAAGGGCGAACCCAATCGGTCCTTCGGGTCCAGCGTTTCTCCGGTTTTCGTTCTATGGGGAGAACGGGAGCACGCGACTCCTGCCGGTGCAGGCTCAAGGGACATTGAGTTTTCCCTTGGGGTCAACTCTTCCCTTGGCCACTGGTGTGGAGGAGACAACAACGTGACTGACCCGTACGTTGTTGGGGGTGAGTTGGTTAGTTTGTGGCTTGGTTGGTTTCCGGTTTCCAGTGTTTGGGTGCTACGGTGTCATCTCTGTGGTGACTGGGGGCTGATTGGAACAGGGTGAACTTGGTCGGCTTGACACAACCAATGTCCGAAGTGAAACGGAAACACTAAGGGAGTAATCTACAGTGGAGGTATGTGAAAGCACATGTGTAAAGTGTGGACGCGTGACGCGTGTATTCGAGGCCCGCGACAACCAGGGCGAGTGACGGCCATGATGCCTGTCTTCCCCAGACTCCCAATGGGACGTCTATCAGGCGGCTGTATGCCAGTCTGCGGTGCTTACTCGGTTGTTTCCCTGCCCATGGCTTGGCAAGTTTCTTGTGTTGCACCTACTGTGTGTAAATCCGCATGGTGCCGAATGTGGATCAAGCGGGGAACTTGTCAGCTACCAACTCAGTGAGGACTTGTGTGCTACTCTCCTTGTTTCTTCTCGCATTGCTTTATGTAGTTCTGGTTGTGTAATATATATGAGTGGAAGAATCACGAGCCCCATGGGCGCGGTTTTATTTTTTAGTAAACGGGGTGGCCGGTGCGCCAGAGGAACCATTTAGGAATTTAGGAGCGGCTGTCATGGTGTGCCTCTGGCTACCACCACAGCGACTGCATCATCATCATCATCATCATCATCATCATCACTAGTATCTTCTAGCTACTAGTAGTAATGCCCTTGTTACTAGTAGCGATGCCCTTGTTTCAGGTAGCTTCTAGCTACTAGTAGTAGTGTCTTTGTTACTAGTAGTGATTCCCTTGATACTAGTAATGCCCTTGTTACTAGGAAGAATGCCCTTGTTACTAGTAGTTTCATGGAACTTTCCTGCCTTTAGAACAAGGTTCAGCCCTTTGGTCAGCCCTTGCGGAGCAGTACTCTGTGTTCTGGATGATACCGGATGTGCTGTATGCCAGGTTTACACGTTTCTTTGCGACATTTACCAACTCTCATACAGATCCTTGTTGCTCCTCTATGTTCTGCTCCAACAGATACTCTATCTGCAAACACACCAAAATGCGGTCAGCTTTGTGAGGCTACATTCTATGAACAAGACTTGAGCGAAAGGATCTGTGCCGCGGGAGCCTTGTGTCCAAAGCCCTTGCTGGTGGACCGTACTGAAGATGGAGACTTGACCATTTGCCGCTTGACTTTTCAAGTCTTCATTCAGACAGTTAGAACATATTAGAACACCACAGTTTTCTTTTTGATAAGACATTGTTCAGTATGCAAGGGATGTCCTTCAGGCAAGGGTTTGTTGAATCATCCACAGTTTCCTGGCAGTGCCAGAGGCAAGTTGTTTCCACTCTGCTTTCGGGGCCTTTGCAACTGCAAGACGGGAATCCATTTGTTCCGATACTCCAAGAAGGGAGGTTGAAGAAGTGTTTGATGCGATTCAATCCTTTATTGAGCCTAATTGCGCACGATTCCACAATGCTAGCTAAGGCATGACAAAGCTGCCTGGCAGAGGCTTCTCTCGCAGCCCTGAGCAAACGTGCAAGCCTTAGGGGCTTAGAGTGGGCATATTTTCCATGCGTTCTCAGAAGGCTTGGGCCTGAACGACCCTCGTCAGAGAGTAGTTAGTTCCAAGCCACCTACATCTTTGAGGCTGAGGCAAAGAAACAAAAAACGGTTCTCAGAAGTAAGGAGACGTTCTGAACGGCTGTGTTTAGTAGGCATGATTTACCCATGAGCCTGGCTGTTGTACAATCTAATCTAAGTCATGTACTGTTTAGTCGGCAGTGGGGACAGGATTCGGAACGCAACTCTCGAGGCACTTAGCGCTGCAGTGGCTCGCGCGGCTCCATGCGCTTTATTGGGGCAAGGCTGATGAGGCCGTGAAGAGCCTTGACTGGGCAGTGAAGGAGACGCCTCAGTTGATTTCAAGGAGTAGAGCCTAGCGGTGCATGTTGTGTCCATTCTTCCAACCAAACTCTAGGGTTTTGCTCAGGAGACTTCTTTCGATATTGATATGTTTGATTGGTCCTTCACGGGAATCGCGTTATATGGAAGGCTTATGGTGAAGGGTTGAAAGGTTGCTTCTTCGGGGAAAGGCCTCGTGGCAGCAGACACTGTTCCGGCAGAACCTGTTTGCAGCAGCAACGCGTTGACTGTAGTCTACTGTAAGGCATTCCGATACTGTATTCCCCTCAAACTCGGGTTGTATTAAGGCAATCAATCTTCCTAGGATATTATATTATACTTATTGATACTTAGTATAATTGCATTTCCGCCTTACGATGCAAAAACCTGAAGGCATGCACATCGAAGGCTTCTGGATGCATTTTGTTTCGCACTCGTAGCTTTACAAGTGTTTGCTACAGATCACATCACATATATATATATAATCAATGAACATGTGCTTGGTACTCTTAATCCTTCCTGCCATGGGTTCGCTTCAAAGAGATTCATCACAAAGATGTGGTACGGTGGAGGAAGTGGGTCCCCACAACAATTAGCTGTGTGTGTGTTCGTTCGCTTCCGTGTGGGCATCCCTGAACTCCGAGCACGTAAGGTCTGGTGTGTCAGATCGCGCCTGCTTCTGGGATTTCACACGGCGACAGATTGAACTGCGGCGCATGCCCCAAGATGTTCTGCGCTGGGCGGCCAAGGGCATTGATGAGCGTTTGCAGGCAGGGTCCTGTAGGTGTGTGTGTGTGTGTGTCAACCCCTGTTCCGAAGGGTGCTTACACGCAGGGGGCTGGAGTGTGCTTCAGATGTCTCCAGCCAATGAAGACGCATCTGTCGCACAGTGACATAGTTCTGGGACGCCAGAACTACGTACCTGCTTTCTTCAACTGTTGACAAGCTGTCCACTCTCGCTTTTTGTTTCCATGGTGTTTCATGATACTACCCCCCCAAACCTTTTCCACCGCGTTTCTGCAGCTGCACCGTGCATTTAGTGATTTCTGCAGACTTCAAAACAGTTTGTTCAAACATCTACAAGTTTTGCGGACTCTTCACCTTACCGTTCTTCACCTTCCTTCCCATCGTGGCAATTGAGTTAACTGAAAACCAATGTCAGAGTGTGTAAGCGAGTTGGAAGGGCTATGGCTGTGAACTTGAGTTGCGTCTTGAATCTGTTTTGACGTCCTTACTGTAGTCCTTGGTAATTCCTGAAAATCAGAACTTTAACATTGGGACGGTGAATCAAGTATGTTCATTGTAGAGCATATAAGTGTCAAGGGTGTCTATCGACTTGTTCAAAAGGGCTTTGTCAGTTGAACTGCCATGGGCATGCAAGGTTTGGACTCGGATTATACAAAGCCATTAAACACTCCTTGACATTGTCTACAGGCTGATAAGATGCAGACGATGTGCCATGGAGACCCAAAGGGTGCGAACATTATGTATGACAGCTCGGAGTTTGCTTAGAACTTTTCTGTTCGACGCTGCAGTCAACCAAGCTTGAAATCTTGAATTCCTTTGCGCATGTGATGCAGCCATTCTTGCTGTTTATCTCCTTACCCACTTTGGGTTGTCCCCGATTGGGATCTGGTTGACTGCAGATCGTAAGCTGAATGATTGTTTTTGTTGTTCCTCTCTCTCTCTCTCTCTCTCTTGTGTCATGAGTTGCCAATATCCAAGGACGAAGAGCAGGGAATTTCATTCTACGATTTTCAATGGTTCGGGAAAGCGCCTCCCTCCAAGGACATACAGCAGACGCTCTCAGGGTTGGAATTTTCGGAGATATTGATAACGAGTGAGACGTTGGTTCTTGAATCAAAGACCATGGCAGTTTAATCGTGGTACTGTATCATATACTATCTAATATTCTCTATTCAGATCACTTTGCTGCAGGCATCATATGGGTTTTGACATTGTCAAGTCTCGAGTTGTCCACCAAGATGACAACAAAGGCTTGAAAAGGCTTGAATGATTTGATTGCGCAAGAAATGGACTGAGAACAGCTAATCTAGTTGGAAGCAATCCTGAGCATTACGTCTACTGCGATTACCGTGTTGAGTTAAGTTTTCAAAAAAGTCTATATAGGAACCAAATGATTAGTGAGAGCGTGAGCTATCCTGCGTCCTACCCAGAAGCTAACTTAGTCTAGTAGCTTATTAGTCAGGGGGGTTAACAAAACCTAATTTGTAAAAATGTTCGTTTCTTGTTGAGCATTCCTGAACTCAAGGACCTGGCTTACTTCTTCGGTGTGGCTGCCCACGGTTTGTCAAAGGAAGAGAACGAGCGTGAGCTGCTAAAGTTCTATCACACAGAGCTGTCCAAGCTTTTGGAGGCTTGGCAAATCTAGAAACGTTTAAATAGCATTGGTTGTATAGCGGAACAGACGCATTGGTTTACTGGTAATACAATGTAGTATAGACTTGTAAATACGTAGTTGTTCGCTAGAAGCAGTTGCAACATTGATAGTTGAAATCTGTAAAGCAGCACCAGCTGCATTGACCAGGCTAGACCACATACTTGACTATTATATTATTCAATGCCTTGTCGTGTGTATATGTATTTATATATCACGAAAGCCAGCCGGTAGGGTAGGCAGGGCTTGAGGTTGTTGGAGCGAACGAAGTGAGTAAAGGGGGTGTGGCGAGGGGGGTGGTCGCGAGAGGGCCAATTTCGGAGAGGTGAACCCACAGCCTGGTTGGGGAGAGCGCAAAATAGAGGTGGGCCACTTGGTAGTGACAAATTAGTGGTTTGAGGGGTGTTGTGATGCCGGTGATGTAATTGACTGCGAAGAGTGCATCATCAGAATCACGAGGGGCTCAGGAGGCCATGGAAAGAGAATAGATCGTAGTTTAAGCTGAAGAGGGCAATTTGTATGCGGTGGGATTGGGGTTGTTGAGGGCAGGAGAGAGAAGAGAGTGCATGATGCCACTGTTGAGGGCCTGTTCACGCGGATTGGGGGGTTAGGGCAGGCTGAGAAGCACTTCTCCCGTGGGTGGACAAACGTCCGGAAATGGACACTCCACATTCGAGCAGCACTGTGAAACGTGGACATAGACCATCGTCTTGAGTTTGTGCAATCTCCTTGCTCTACCAATCACATGTGCGATCTTGTGCAGTTATTGAACTATTTTGTACATATGAGACTGCGCATTGCATCCATGCCATTTGAAGTGGCCAGCTGTTGCTGGAAACCATAGCACTTACTCCAAACTACATTCCAAGCTTGACTGAGAACCAGGGGATATCTAATCACGAAAGCCAGCCGTCAACTCACTTGAAACATAGACCAACACACCATACGAAACCTTCCCCATAATACAAGAGTGCCCTTTTTCCCCTCCACAACGCCCCGACATCGACGCAAAAGGGGGCCCGTCCCAAACCTCTGTATTCTACTCTTTATTTCCATTCTTTCTCGAGTGACGGCCATAGCCACTTCACCACTTCCAGCTCCTCTTTGTCCACTCTACCTATATACTGTACATATATATATATATCCTCACGAAAGCCTGCCGATAGCCTCGCCCACGACCGTCTCTGGTCACTCATTGCCAACACGCAGCCGACGAACTCACATATCATTTTTGAGGGTGCCCTTTTTTCACCTCCACAACACTTCTGCACCAACACGAACCAGGGCACCCCCCTTTTAATTCGACCGTCTATTTCTACCTCCTATCGCCTACCTGCAACGCCAACTTCACTCCATTCACGTACTCTTTACATTGTGTTCGCCTTTCAGTTCACCTTGCACACTCACGTCGCTCCAATATCAACCTCACCACTTCCGGCTACTCTTTGTCCACTCTACCTACACAGCCTACACACATATATATATATATCCTCACCTACCCTAGCCTCGCACATGAACCCCCACCGCCGTCTCTGCTCACTGATTCGCAAAACGCCGCCGGCAAGCGCGCCTCACTTCCTGCTAAGAACACAAAACCTGCGTCGTGGCCCGCGCGATGCGACGGCAAAACCGAGAAAACCGAGAAAACCAGAAAACCGAGAAAACCGAGAAAACCAGAAAACCGAGAAAACCGAGAAAACTAGAAAACCGAGAAAACCGTTCTCGCATTTTGCCGTGTGGAAGTTTTTTCCAGTTTTCTTACGTTTTCTTGCTTGTTTTGTCTTTGAGCGTGAAAACGAGAAAAGCAAGAAAACGGGTTTCGCCGTTTTCCCGGTTTCGCCGTTTTCCCGTTTTCGCCGCTTTCGTCGTTTTCGCCGTTTTCGTCGTTTTCGCCGTTTTCGTCGTTTTTGCCGTTTTCCCGTTTTCGTCGTTTTCGCCGTTTTCGCCACTTTCGTCGTTTTCGCCGTTTTCGCGGTTTCGCGGTTTTCGCCGTTTGCACGTTTTTGTCGTTTTCGCCGCTTTCGTGGTTTTCGCGCAGTCGTCGTTTTCGTGGTCTTCGCCACTTTCGAAGGTTTTCAACTCAAAAGAGGCCCAACAACAGGATGTCGCAGGAGGCGCCTATATAGTGTCCAACCTTGGATGTCTCTTATATATATACCCTACAAGTCTAACAGATATTAAAACAAAGGCCGTTATAACAACAGACATTTCACGCATGCTGGTTTCTGACCCCCACCCACGCACTTTTTTCACACTCCCTGGGGGAGCCATGCGATCGATCATCGCCGCATCCTCGAACTCCGCATCAGCCTCAGATTGAGGTTCCACATCTCTCCCATGGTCCAAACCTTTTGAACCAAATCAACATGGTTCCAACAGATTCACCAAAGTTCCACTACAAAGTACATGTGAGCACAAAGACATACACTCCAACATGAATAAATTATATAGAACAAGGGGCATGGGCAATCGCCTCTTCATGCCCATCAAACGCAGTTTGGTGCAGCGAAGCACCCATCGAGAGCGGTTCTTGAAGTTCGAAGCATTCGCAACTCCTTACACCGGTTGATTCCAATCACAAGGGTTCAAATGAAGAGGTAACATGCACATGCAGGGTCAACAGGAAGCGAAAAGCAACGCAACCAAAGTTCCCTTCAACCACTTCATGCCATCCTCATCAATGAAGCAATGAGTGAATCTGCAGTTGCACCCTCAGCATGCATTTCACAAGAAAGCTGCACGTGTCATTTCGATATCCCACACAATGGATACCGAAGCTTCGCGATCAACACTTGAATCTCAAAAGAGGAACACTGTCCACAGAATTCCACAGAGCTCCAATTTATTGTTATTGAGTAATTGAGTACCAAAAAGTTATTGATCTCTAGCTTTGGGAGCAAGCCACACACAATACGTGTTGAACTTGTTCTAATCTCATTACGCCCAATTACAGTAAAGGCCCCAGCACAAACATGAGAAAGGGTCCTTTGGGCTCAATGACCAAGGGAAGTAGTGCAGAAACAAGTTGGTTCCAGCCCTTCCCTCCCAGCAGCCAACGAAACGTGTCCCTGAAGCCAAGAAACTGTACCGCTTTATGTCATGCAGAATGTGGCCAAACATCTTAGTTGCCACCAGCAGTGCAGCGAAGCAATGACTGGCTCAAACAATGGACAACATCCCTTCCAAAGCATAGTTGTTTTATAGTTTGGAAGTGTTGTATAGCCTTGTTAGACTATTTAGCCAATCTCAGATCAGACCAACGGCTGGTGTTCTGAATGGGATGAAACGCAGGCAAGGTACATGGTGCTTCGGCTTGACGAGCCATTCATGCAGCCCCATCCTACCACAGTAAACATATTCTAGGTTGAATGCAAAGGGATGACGTGCAAATGCACAACTCAAAGGCCCACATGGTGCGTATGTCCAAAACACACAGTCCTCACTGACAAGATCTGGAGAACTTTGTACATCTCCAGGTACTGCATGCCCTCCAGGAACATCTCTTCTGCCACATTTTGTGGCCTCAGAGATCTATTTGATCAACAGCACTGCAGCCCATCCTTTGGACAAAAGAACTCTATTTATTTATATGTTTCTCTGCCCTCACGCCCTCAGCACTCTTCTATGCTGATCAGTTTAGATAGATTAGATTAGATAGGAAATTTGGAAAATAGTTAGTAGCAGAAGGCTAAATCCCATCAAGCCACCAAGCAAGGTAGATACATACATAGTTTAGCTTTGAGAAGTGGCCTGTTCCACACCTGGACATCCAATCATAGTACTGCAGCGTATGAACCACGCTTGCCACCCAAGAATCCAACTTTGAGTGAGGTTTCACCAGCGATGCGTTAAGGCGGAGATGATATATCCTGTTCCCTTTTCCCAACCACCGTCCCAAACTTTGACATGTTGTGCGCCAAGTATCAAAAAGCGGCCATGGCGCTCAGCCAGCCACATGAACCTCGCCATGGAAGTCCTGAGATTGCACAGGACTAGGGCTGCAAAGAGTGTCCTGCAGGGTATGTGTGTTGGTAGCTTTTCAATAGAAGCTAAGTCAGCTGAGGGTCATTGCCACCGAAGCGCATGTGAGGCGCTCGTTGTCAGCAAAGCGAAGTTGACCAGCCGCATTCTTCAATTCAAAGGCAAGCCAAGAAAGGATCACTCTTCCATTGTAAGCCTTCGCCGTCATCAACACTTCGCGGTTTTTCTTCTCCACCTAGCCAACCAGGATCCCAAAGCCACCATCCCAAGACAGATAAGACAGAGCATTCTTGTGCACAACCATGTTGAACAACGTGTCGAAACTTACAGGCCAAGGGTCCAGCTTCACCGTGAAAGCCGGTTGGCTATGTGAGATTTTGCGAGCAAGGCAGTAGGCCTTGAAGGCTCTATAGGCCTCATCCAATTGAGATTGGTAATCTCCTGGTCCCCACCATAGGAGCTCCCTGCAAAGCATTTTCCTCAGCTGTCATGACCGCAATGTTGCTTTGCAGGACCCTGCACTATAGGCCTTGACATGGATTGTGTGTCCAGAGTATTATTGAATAAGACTGGTACCCCCCAAAGAACCTGGACACACAATCCATGTCAATGTCCGATGTGGATGTTGGATGATTTAAATGCACCTCAGCTGCACAAAGGAGGGCCATTGGAGTGGGTACAAAAAACATATGAAAGCCACTTCAAATTGTAGCCATGGGGTCAAGGAGGCTC